CCACTAACCGCCCATATTTATGTATTTATTTATTTATTTATTATTCACATTTCTATCCCGCCCTCCCCGGAGGCTCAGGGCGGCTTACAGGGCATATCGCCAGATAAAACCATAAAACAATACAGAATATTAAGAATATTAAGAATATTAAGAATATTAATACAAAATATTAAGAACCCTATTTAAAACAGATTTTGATGCTCCTCTCAGCAGAGTATCCAATCTCTACAAGTTCTAAAATTTCTAAAAGCAAGATGGCTATCCCTGACCATCCCGTTCTCGCCCATAATGCAACGGCTAAATGTGCGTGCCCCATCCTGATGTCCATATAGATGGGGGATAGATGGTAACTAGTGCGGTGGTGGTGCACTAGTGGTGGTGGCGGCTCCTATTCGAAAGCCTGGCGGAAGAGCTCCGTCTTGCAGGCCCTGCGGAACTGTGCTAGGTCCCACAGAGCCCTGATCTGCTCTGGGAGCTCATTCCACCAGATAGGAGCCGCCGCCACCATATACATCGTAGGAGCTATCTTTGGATGATGACCACATCTAACTTGACAAAAGAATATTAAAATATTCTTAGACATATCCATATTCTGTTATGGAGACATTCTATAAGGTGTTAGATTAATTCACAGAGAATAGGGCCTTCAAAGTCTAAATGGAACCTCCATCTTCATGGGAAGTAACTGTTAGAATCCCAATTAGGGGTGTGCAAAAAAAAAAAATTGGCCCAATTCAAATAGGGCAGAATCAATTTCAGCTGGCAGAAAGACTCCCGCATGTCAATTTCAGCAGTACCAGCCCATTCTGGAGTCTTTTCGCCAGCTGAATGTCAATTTCGGCCCCATTATATCCTATGGGCCATTGAAGTCAATGGCGAAAACATAGGGTATATTCTAGGGACTGGAGGGGAGGGGGTTTAAGGGAGAGGCTCCAAACCTGCAGGGTAGCTGCTGGAGCCTCTCTCCAAGATACCCACCAAGTTACTTTTTCCCACCTTAGAAAACAATGGAGGGGATGGGGACAACCTGTTTGGGAGCCCATAGAATTGGACCCCCTGGTCCAATGTTTTTGAAACTTGGTGGGTATGTTGGGGAGAGGCTCCAGCAGTGACCCTGCCGGTTTGGCGCCTCTCCCTCAAACCCCCTCCTCTCCAGCCCCCAGAATATACCCTATGTTTTCACCATTGACTTCAATGGCCCATAAATCAAATGCACATCCCTAATCCCAATGCTGGGGGGCCACCAGCAGGGGGAGTATTTGGCTTCCACGCCCTACTTTCAGGGACCACCTGACTGACTAGTGCATGCTGTGGCATGCTGGATTAGATGGGCCATTGGTCTGATCCTCCACGGTTGCTCTTTTGCTTTTATTTTCGACCGCTTTTGAATTTTGAAGCTGGGGAACTAAACAGGGCCTTTAAAAGATAAAATCAGATGAATAAAACATGTGGCGGCGATGTTAAAAGCAAATGCTCTTTCAGAATCATGTCGAGTAACTATTTTTCTACTTCAATTTATCATCAATAGCCTACATTTCTAAATATGCTACGGCAAGATTTGGTTATTTATACACTGGTCAGGAGTTATTCATGGCTGATTAATTAATAATGGCTAAATATGTCTTTCAGCCTCCCAAAGTCCCTTGAGAAAGAAGAAACCAACTTGTTTTTCCTGACCAACCAAATGGCGGAATCCCTAGGTGGCAGCGGCTACTGTGTGGAGAGACTATCTGTGCCATACGTCCCACTTGTGACAGGTGAGCCTTCGGCTTTTCACGGGCTGCTGTACCTCTTTAAAGTACACGATGCTGAATTACACAGAATGATAAGCACAACCATTGCACCTGCAGGAGCATCTTCTGAGAGGTAGATGGAGCTAATTCTCTTCATATCTTGCCTGTCAGCTACCATACCGTGTTGCTAAAATATTTCAGGTCTAAGTTCTACTAAGGTGGTATACTTGTGTCACTGAGAGTGATAGGTCCCGGTCACATGTGCCGGGAAACACGGGGGGAGGCGTGGCTTTTTGCAAACGCAAACGCAATCAGACACGAAAAATGCAATCAGTCGCGATGGCAGTTTCCTTCCTCGGCGCACGTTCCCAGCACGCTCCAATGGTGCAAGAGGAGCACGCTAGAGCAATCACACAAAGAGAGTCCGTCAGCGGCCCATTGCAAGCCATTGCTAGTGGACTTTATGAGGTACCTTTCTACTCCGCGTCTTCGGCCGGCTGCGATGGGTGTGCTACGCTGGCCAGATGTTGCTGTGTGATCGCGCCCTTATAATCCGCCCGGCATTTGTGCCACTCCCGCGGCAACTTCTGCGTCTGATCAGGGCTTCAGTCATGTATGATGAATTACCTACATATAAGAAAACTAGCGTCTCAGGGGGAGGGCTTAGCTAGAACTTCTTTCCATGGTATCTAGGGTCAAACTAGATGCGATGGCATTCTCAGGTGATTTTAAGGTGATTTTAAAATGCTGCACTGGCCCAATCCTTACTGGGCCTGAGGTGCAGTGCTCTCGTCTCTCCCCTTCATGCCTTTTCAAGTCCCGAAACAGCTGTGTGGGGGGTGGCCATTTTGTCACTTGATAAGGGATGGACGAACAGACGAAAGGTCTTCAGTCCACTGCACCGCCATTGTTAAATCACCTTTTTATTAGATTATTTTTTTCAGGGGATGTTCACAAAGAGGGTCTCACGGCGACTTACAGTGCTTAAGTTAAAACCAACAAAAATCACATAATGTGCATAAAATATTAAGACACAGAACATCGGGTTAACCTCCAGAAGCCAACCTGAACTGTTCAGCATGTATAACATCAGATTTTGGCTTCTCCAGTTAATAGCCTCTCAGGTGACAGATATGCTCTTGAGATCACGCAGAGCTCCTACCAGTCAGGTTAGGCAACACCTATCATAGGTAACAAGCAGCTTGATATATGCACATGATCTGAAATGATCCGTGAGCATTATGCTTGCCTATAAGTTTGTATATCAGCTGCTGTGTCCATCAGTCGCCCTTGTTGAAATGAATGGAGCTTATACACTCAGCGAAGTCCACTTCCGGGGAATCCCAAGGCTGGAAAGAAACCAAAACACAGACACAGTGGGCGCTTTGAATCTTATCTATCTATTCCTCTATCTCTCTGATTTTTTAGATTGCCCTCCCCTATGCAGGGCTCAGGGCGGTGTACATCAAGTCAATAAATACAATGTAAGTCACCTATAAGTTGATTAAAACTATTAAAACAATAGACAGCGATAAAGTAACTGTTCCGAAAGGCATCTTAAGACACTTTCTCCATAAGGAAGGGGAGAAATGAAGGGAGCCGAGCTGAATGGCATTTTAAAGCTTGTCATTTCCCATGGGGAGGAGAGAAAGTAGAGGAGACCAGGCTCATTGGCAACTGTTGCTGCCCCAGTGTTGCCTGGTGGAACAACTCTGTCTTTCGGGCCCTGTCGAACTGCGCTAGGTCCTGCAGGGCCCGGATGTCATCAGGTACGGAGTTCCACTAGGCCAGTGCCGAGGACAGCCGGATATCTTTCGAGCCAAGGACCACCAGAAGATTTTCCTCTCCCAAGTGTAAAGCTCTTTGGGAGATGTGCCAAGAGAGGTGGTCCTGTAGGTACATTGGTCCCCCAGACCATTTAGGGCCTTGAAGGTTAGTACCAAAACCTTGAACCTTATCCAGTGCTCAGTCTGGAGACAGTGCAGCTGGCAAAGCACCGGTTTTATGTGCACTATAAATGGGGTCCCAGTACGGACCCCTGCCACTGCGTTCTAGACCAGTTGTGATTTCTGGGTCAGTCTCAAAGCCACAGCTGTGCCACTCCTCACTGTCTCTCTCAAACTCTTTTGAAACGTGCAAAACGTGTGGACAAGGAGCTGCCATTCATGAACCCGACAAAAGCCAAGATGCCCTTTTCGAGACGCACAGTCCTTTTAGGATCCTGGTCAAAATCTATTCCGCTCCCCCCCTCATTTTCTAACTAATAGCTGGGCCTCCCTGGATAAAGCGTTCTTTTCTTTTTCCATCCCCCCGGCACCTCTTGAAACTTAGCTCTGTTTCGATGTGGCAAAAAGCCGCTTAGACGCAGGCGCAAGTCAAAAGGTAAATTTTTCTGCCACGGCCGCTTCTCTCTGTCGTAGCTTTCCCCTGTTGTGGGTAGGATCTCTAGGCAGCCAAATAAGCTGTAGGCTCATAGATAGGAAGCAAACCGTGCCGTGTGGCTTGCCTTTCATTCCCTGCTGTGCTCCTCAGCCAGACAACTGTAGCTGCAGTCCTTGTTCTGTCCTCAGCCTATTCTTGTTGCTTGCTTTGAACTCTTCCTACAATTCCTACAGCTTCTGTACGTTTATTTAATGCTGGTAGAGCTAGGCAAGATGAGGGAGTGATGCCATTTAAGAACATAAGAGACGCCAATGTTGGATCAGGCCAAAGGCCCATCCAGTCCAACACTCTGTATCACACAGTGGCCAGAAATACCAGGTGCCATCAGGAGGTCCACCAGTGGGGTCAGGACATTAGAAGCCCTCCCACTGTTGACCCCCCCCACAAGCACCAAGAAGACAGAGCATCACTTGCCCCAGAGTCCCTATCTATACCTTGTGGCTAATAGCCACTGATGGACCTCTGCTCCATGTGTTTATCCAGTTCCCTCCTGAAGCTGTCCATGCTTGTAGCCGCCACCACTTCCTCTGGCAGTGAATTCCATGTGTTAATCACTCTTTGGGTGGAGAAGGACTTCCTTTTATCTGTTCTAACCCGACCGCTCAGCAATTTCATGGAGTGCTCACAAGTTCTTGTATTGTGAGAAAGGGAGAGGGTTAACAGTAGGGTCGCCTGGTCCCCCCCGGCCGCTGGCAGGGGATGGGGGGTAGGGTTGCCAGTTCCAGTTTGGGAAACATCTAGGGATCTGGAGACAGAGCCAGGGAGGACGGACCCCCGTGGTGTACAAGGCCATACAGTCCACCCTCCAAACCATTTTCTCCAGGGAAACTGATCTCTGTATTCTGGAGATGAGTTGTAATTCTGGGGGGTCCCCAGGTCCTCCCCGGATGCTGGGATCCCTAGTTAGTTAGCAGTCCACCTTGGATTGTCCATCCCTATCTCATTTTCAAATAATGAGTCCATCTCAGGATCTGCTTGGTTCTGTAAGAAAGTTGCTCTTGGGGCATGACTGGTTAGGTCTGAGTCCAGCAGCACCTTAGAGACCAGGGAGATATTTGGGGTATGAGCTTTTAAGAGTCAGTAATCAACTAAGAATGGAATCATAGAGTTGGAAAGAACCTCCAGGGTCATCGAGTCCAACTCCCTGCACAATGCAGGAAAATCACAAATACCTCCCCCCCACCCCCGGTGACCCCTGTTCCATGCCCAGAAGATGACAAAAAACCCTCCACAATCCCTGGCCAAAGTGGCCTGGAGAAAATTGGCTTCCTGACCCCAAAGTGGCGATCAGCAGGGCTATTTTTGGGTAGGAACGCACAGGAACGGAGTTCCGGCTGGCTCCCAAGTTGGCCACGCCCAGCAGGAACTCATTAGCATAATAGGCCACACCCAGTAGCAGAAACTCATTAGGATTGGCTACATTGGGGGGTGTGGCCTAACATGCAAAGGAGTTCCTGCTACAAAAAAAGGCCCTGGGTTTTGACAACAAACAAGGTAAACAGAATAAGAAGGGAAAGGTGGGGGTGGCTGGATGAGCACACTTCTGGTAACATGGGGATGTGGCCTAATGTGCTAATGAGCAGTGCTGTCAGGGTGTGGCCTAATATGCTAACGAGTTTCTGATGTTGCGTGTGGCCTATTATGCTAATGAGTTCCTGCTGGGCTTTTTCTACAAAAAGAGCCCTGGCGCCGATCAGCATTTCCTTGGGCATGTAAGAAAAGGCCACGAGAACTAAGCACTGATGCTTAGATCCCTGAGTCTTTATATCCTAGTCTGAAGGTGGGAGGGGTGATGCAAAGAAAGGAGTCCGGATGCAGAGGTGCAGTTCAAAATACCTCTGCATTCTGAGTTCCTTCTTTGCCACACCCCTCCCGCCTTCCGGCTTAGGATATAAGGACTCAGGGATCTCCATTCCTACTGTTATCTGACAAAGGGAGCTTTGCCTCTCTAGAGCTCATACCACGAAAGACTCGTTGGTCTCCAAGGTGTTGCTGGACTCAAACCTAGCTGTACTACTGCAGTCTGACATGGCTGCCCTCTGAAACTATCTTCAATAGGACACGACTGACCATCGTACTCTGGGTCCACACAATCCATGTGTGCTTGTGAGGTCCCCTCTGCAAACTCAAGTCCTTGGCCCAATTCAGATCAGGACTGTGGGATGCAAGGGGAAAGGGGTTTGTTCTTTCTCCCCATGTTGTTTTTCTCACCCCAAAGGGCCTCTTTGCTTTATTGAGGGCTCCACTCGTACTATGGAGGGTTTCCCCAGTGGGGCAAATGGAGCTTTCCCAGGGCCGTTTTGGGTCAGGAAGACATCAGAAGGCGAAGGCAGAAGCTCCTTCTCCTTAGTCCCGATCTGAACCAGGCCCTGTGCACCTGGGAATTTGACTTCCCAGTGGGGAACTCTCAGTCACGTGTCTGACAGACAGTCCTTGTACTAGGCGCAGATTTGACCTGAGAAGAAGAAGAAGAAGAGATTGGATTTATACCCCACCCTTCACTACCCAAAGGTGTCTCAGAGCAGCTTACAGACTCCTTTCCCTTCCCCTCCCCACAACAGACACCCTGTGAGGTAGGTGGGTCTGAGAGAACTATTGACAGAAACTGCTCTTTTTCAAGAACAGCTGTGCCAGAGTTATGGCTTGCCCAAGGTCATCCAGCCAGGTGCAAGTGGAGGAGTGGGGAATCAAACCCGGTTCTCCCAGATTAGAGTCCGCGCACTTAACCATTACACCAAACCGGCTATATTATGCCCTTGGTCTGAGCACCCTATCTGTAATGCCCTCCGGCTGGATAATAGCTGGTTCCTGACATCACCTTTGTCCCTTTCCAGCATCAAACTGTACTGTGGAACACAAAGCAAAATGTTTGGTGACATTGTGGTGCATACCCTGGTTAGATTAGATTGCTGCAATACACTCTGATTTTGACACACTTCAGTTTTGATGAACAGGGACATAAAATAATGCCGTCGCTGTTCTCGTTGTTCAGATGAGGACCGACTGTCCCGGAGGAGAAGTCTGGTGGATACTCTGTCAATCCAGGTGGACATTCTACCTGGCTGCAACCTGCAAGAAAAGGTATCTATAACTTCTCCATGAATGAAAACAGATTCCTGGGTTGTTGTTTCTTAAAGTTTGGTGTTTACTTCAGGTGTTCAGTCTTCTGTCCTTTGGAGAATAACCCTTTCCACATCAATGTCATCGTATCTGCTGAAGGACCCTACGGCTCGTATGCAACCATTCTGCTTAGCCAGGGTGGACTGCCTTCCTCCAACAGGAGAGGATCGCCAAGTTACTTCCACTGAAGGAATGCTCCTTAAGCTGCGAAGGAAGTCTTCGAATGCGTCTGAGCAAAGCAATAGGGTGCCATGTTTGTTGCAGGGTCCATGCGCACTGTAGGGATGAGAGGATGTTCCCAATTTCCTCTTAGGACACGGGGAAAGGCCTCCATGGAGCCTGACTTAAACATGCAAATTTTTAAAAATCGCCGTTAAAAATTCATCCAGAAGACCCTTTTCAGGAGGAAGGCATGAGTGAGGCCCTTGGGATGAATTGCAGCTGCTTTGGACTCTGCTTGCTTCAACACCTTCAGCTTTATTTTTGTTGTTGTTTAGGTGAACAGTACTGAAGAGATCACCTTTGAAACGCTGAAGAAGGCCATCGGTAAGGCGGATTGCCTTTCTGTCGCTGTGGAACCACTTACAAATCTCCGTGTAACGAGAGAAAATTGATTTGACAGAAAGACTGTGCTGACTTTTCAGACTGAAGGCGAACCCGGATGCAGCCGTGGCGGAGGCCGTCAGCGCACTGCAAAACTATATTGTTTTGAAGCCAGTTTAACTGTCACTAGGGAAAAAAGGGCACACCAAAGAAAATTACTCTTCTATATCTTTAACACACTTAGTTGTATTATTATAACAAATTTCCT